CAGTCACACTTGTGGTAAGATCTAGTGTAAATCGGCATAGCTTCATGGAAGGTGCTGCATCGAGGCACAGGGGGTGGGAGGCAGTGCTGTGTTGTGCTGGGCACCTGCCATCTGGAAATCAGCCCTTGAGCTGTTTATAAAACTGTCAGCAAAGTAGGCATGGTATGTGATGTGGCAATTCTTTCAATAGATTGTTGTATTTCCATCTGTCTATGTAGTCTATTACAAAACTTGGTAAAAATTATGTTTCTATTCCTGCTGTGCCCACCTGAATCCACAGGTTCTGCACCAAAAAAAAGGACATTTGAAAGAACATGGGTTAGTTTTCACATTTCAAGATATATTTCCATACAGTTGGGTCACACAGAGGCAAATAATGCCTGTTAAATGCCAGCTATTTGAAAATAAATCCAGTTTTTAAGTAGCAGTGTACCATAAGCAAGAGAAGATGAGAAAGTCCAGTCAGGTTGTACTCAAGGGGTGACATACATAATCTGTCAAATCTGAGTGTCTGTGTTTCCACATAAATGTGATAGGTCTACTTATCCTAGTGTTCACTGATCCTTTGAATAGGCAATTCAGTGCCTGACTTGTCTTTTTGATCAATAATTTTTTTGCTGTTCAGGGTAAAATGCAAGCTGAAATTTAACGGAAATTGGAGGAGACTGAGGTTTGACTGCGATGTCAGTGTCCTATCAGGATGTGCTCTTGGGTAGGGCAAAAATTGACTGCACATAAATTAAGGCCTAAACTACTGGAAAATTGTAAGCTGCACATCATTTGTAAGGAATAGCAAATAATTTCTTTAAATTCCTCAGTTTGTGTCAGTGTCAAGCACGCTCATTTTGGACAGGACTTACGTTGCAACACGTGTTCTTGATGTGGAGTTCAGGACCAGCAATTCGGTTATGACAAAATACCACCACATAAAAGTTTCTATAGGCAGGTTAAGGTAGGTTTTGCAATGAAAAGTTATCAATATACTGCTGAAAATAGTAACTGTGCTAATCGTTTAGCTGTCACATGGATTATTAAACTTTGTCATTTAATAATAATGAATCAAGCTTTAAAGTAAAACCCTTAACTTAAAAGTAAAACCCTCAATCTAAATATATACTATTGTCTTGACAGCTTCGAAACAGAAATTGAAAGGCCTTCTTAATAAAGTTTTTACTTAGAAACCAAAGCAAGAAATGGTTTTCAGTTTTTGCAGGATGATTACTGAAGGAGTAATGCCACGTCAGACCTCAGCTCTGGCACTGCCCCATGCTTGAGCTCCAGTGGGGAAGGCTTGGGTAATACCATTGTTTCCAAGAAGCAGAGTATCAAAAGTTTCCCTTGCCCAATAGTGATGGGGGGAGATTGACAAAGGCAGATGGAGGTAACTGCAGAGAGAAGCAAAGCTAGTTTTTTTAATTTACAGGTGGTTTATAGCTCCTGCTTCTCTGGCTGAACTTCCAAGTGATGTTGGTTGCCTGAGGCTAGGTTGTAAAGGACTCTGAAAGTAAGCTGAAGGTTGCTAATGGCTTAAGGGTGAAAATACACAGCGAATTGCATAGAAAAAAAGCCTATTATCAAGTGGCTTGTATGAATGATAATTCATCAAGTGCATGAAAAATACTGAAGTTTTACCAGCAATTGATACTCGAGGCAATAAGATGGCAAATTTGGAGGTATGATGACAAGAAAAGCTGAACCATTAGGGAATAATGTAATCGTGGAATTTGAGAACAGCAAAGGATGAAGAAATGTGAAGTGCTGGAAGTAAGCTGAAGTAAAACGGTGTCGAAGTCTTACCTTCTGTCTGTCTGTGAGACAGGCCTAGATGGGTTGGACTAGATCTTCCACAGAATTTTTGCTGAAACATTCTGGACTTGAAGGACCAGCACAAAACTCAAGTGGACAAAACAATATGAAGGATGTATGAAAAAAAATAAAGTTACTGATAAAATATGACAGAACAATTAACTGTCTGGAAAGATATATTGGAAATTGTCTGTGTTATCTGTGAACTATGAGTGCTGGTGAAGCAGAGCTTGAAATCAAAGGCATCCTGGTCATTAATCAATGTGTTTGCCAGGAAGGGGGGAACCTGATCATTCAAATGACTGTGGCGCTCAGCACTCCTCACATCAATGGCTGCTTGTGTAGGTGGTTGGATTTCCAACAGACACCATGCAGTTCCAGACAGGGGACGTATCTCAAATGGAAATGGCTTCCACAGACATGGATGAATTAAAATGGAAAAACTACATGTGGAGTAGGAGAAAGCTAGTGGAGAAAGCCCACCGAGGAAAACTCTTGGCTTTCTCTTATGATCACCTTCTTCTAAAGCAGAAAAGATTCTTCATATGCAGTCACTCTCAAGGGAAAGTTTAGAAAGAAATTAGTATTTCCAAGCACCTGTTGAAAACTGAAGGAGAGGAAGAGACTTAGTCTAAGCGTTGGATTTGGTTTTCTGCTTTTCCTGGCCATTGGCTGAAGAACCTGAGCTGCATCTGCAACCTGAGTGTTTTCTCTGTGATTTTTGTCTTTCCTCACTTCCATATGCGTGCATGGGGCTGACTATTAATTGCGGCATATTGACATATGAAATGTGTTTGAACTGGATGTGGATAAATTTGATATATAAGAATAGATTATCTGGTATCACAGTACAAGTATTCTGGTGTTTGTGGTTTCGGCTTTATTTTACAGCTGTAGTCTGAGCCTACAACCTTCTGTTGACACTACTTACGTCTATAAAGAAAACTCAGCAATGTTTGGCACAATATATTTGCTTAAACTGATTAAAATCCTGCAGTTTTGTAAACAGAAGACAAAAATACCTTTTTTTCTTTGGTACAGTCATGCACTTCGTCCATTACAAGAATAATTAAAACCATTCTGATGAAAACTGCGTTCAGTCTGGCATTGTAGAGTAGGAGATGAGGGAGGTTGTCCCTCTCTATGCTCTCAGCACTTTCTACAGGGAGGGTTGTAGGGGCTAAGGAGGCAGCTGCTGGTGCTGCCTCGTGGTTGTGCTCATCAGCACCCCTGCCATGCACAGCGGGTGCAGCTGCTCCTGTCCCGCACAGAAGCCTCCTCCGCACCGGATGAGGTGGAAATCCTGGGCAGGGAGGAAGGGAGGTGTGGTCATGCAAGGGAAGACCATGAGGCAGTGGAGAGGATGGAATTCAAGTCTTACATAAACCCTGGTTTGATGTTACGTAATTTCTAGGGGCTGGATATTTGGTATTTTCAAGCTTTTTTGTTACTTAAGTGCATTACTTATAAGTCCGTTTTAATGAAAATTGAAGGCAGCTCAGCATTTCAGTTTCTCAGAGATTCTCAGGCACTCAAAAAAGGCTTATTGTAAATCTAAGAAGCTTTTTTAAAAATCATTAAATCAGAATTCAATTTGTGTTGTTTATATGTCTTCTCCTAATTCTGTGTGATCACATGCTGACTGTTTTGTCTTCCAGGCAGATTTTCTTGGTAATGTGTCATCTGTTTGTGTGTGAAGAAGTGTAAAGTGTCTAATTCTTTCTACTGTTTACATTCATAGAGTAATAATTCTTGTTTTGTTCTTGAAACAACTGCTAAAAGCCCCTCAGTGGAAGCACTAGAAACAATTAAATCATCAGTCCTAAATAGTTATGCATTAATGATGTGATACACTTCACAAAATACAGCAAAATTACTTTGGCAGGTACATCTGTCCTGTGAACTTAAAATTGTTTGCACCATTTTTATAACTGGCAAGGTTTGAAATCTACAAGCAGAGATATGTGGAGAGAGGAATGTATTTTAATGCATAAATATATATACAATTATACTGATTAATGTTTTGGATGATGAAAATAAGGAATAAGTTGGAAGAGTTGACATAGGAATTTCAGTTTATTGGCAGCTACTATCTGAGGACAATACAATTTGGATATCTCCACTGTAAAGATCAGCAATAATTTACAAATACTTTAAAATCCAGTTTTCCAGCTCTAGAAGGCACTTGAATTTCTCCAAGCAAGTGCATGTGGTGTGGAAGTACCTCTGCTCAAGGCAGGAGAAGCTCCCACTTTGTTGGGTCGTATTTTGCTTGGCTGTTTGGGTTGGTTGGAGGGGTCACCTCACAGATAGGTCTGCCCCTGTGAAGCTGGGGAACAACAGCTGGACAGGGAATGGATTTCACAGGAAAATCTAGGTCCTGTGCTTTGTTTTGCTTGCTGGGAAGATGGATGAAAACTCTGAGTTTCATTGTCTTCCTTGCAACCCTGCAATAGTTTGCTTTCTAAACACCAGCACGTTGTATTCCAGAGTGGTAGTGTATTTGTAAAGACACCTATTTGCTTGGGAAGTCTTTGCTTATGGGAAGCGGCAGACCTGAAGATCTGGGAAGTGCTGGCAGGCAGAGACAACCTGACCTTACCCCTGGGTGTGTGTCCCTGCTCACTATTGCTGGATGGGCTCCTCACGGAGATCCTGCCACCATCACTTGCTCCCCTTTGCTTTCTGGCAGATGAGTTGGATCATAGCAAATTATTTTTCTGCTCCTGGAAAAACCCTCATTTACAGATACAGCTTTTAAAGAATCCAGTATGTGGCTGTAGGAAGCGCTTTAAATTTTGCTTATGTTTAGTCTGGAAAAATTCTGACTTTTTTTTCCTGGAATTTTAGGAGAAAGGCAGTTAGGATTTCTTTCGCACAGCTATGCAGCACAGGTGTGTGTGCATTAAAGATATGTTGTTTATAATCTGGTTTCTGACATTCTAATTCAAATACTTTTTTGATTTAACATAAAAAGGTTGATAGCTTTATCAAATGGACAAAAATTGCTTATTTTCCTGGATGGTCTTCAACATTTATGAGAAATTAATGTCAGTTTCAGAATTTATGAAGGACAAAGAAATGGTATTCACTAATTCAAATAATTAATTAGAAGTAAATGCCTCTGGGTAGTGGGTTGTTTCCCATTTTAGGAGAATTAGAGGAAAATTTAATAATTGCTTTCAATTTTTCAGGCAGCCAACATCAAGCGTGAAATGACCTTCCATGCATTTCAACAGGAGGATGTAAAAAGTGACATCAGTCGAAAACTGCCAGACCAACAGTTTCTCCTGTTCACCACAAAGGAGGAAGATTTAAAAACAGCAGAGACCAAAAAACTAAACAGAGCTCATGAGTATGAAAAGGAAAACACTCGTTCAGTTTGTCTTCTGGAACAGAAGCGCAAGGTTGTTTCTTCAAATATTGACGTGCCTCCAGCAAGGTAAGGAGAGTTGGATTTTTTTGTTGTGGTTTTTTTTAAGCTTTGTTCCTTTTTCTTCCCTGCCATTTTTTAAAATGGGATATTAGGTACAAGTTTGGCAAACAGCACTATGAACTGCTAAGATTAGTGTTTGTGCCCAGGCAGTGCAAAGTCAGTCACAACCTTCCTATTTGAGAGATCTGCTGGGAAATTAAAAACACCAGTAGCAGAAAATGAGAGCATCTGCAGAGTAGGACATTGTATTGCTTTTGTATTGTTTCTGCTTCTAGAATGTGCTGCAGCTGAGGTACTTGGAGAAGAGGATGTGTCTTAGGAGGAAGAGATTGTTGACTCAGCTTCACCCTGAGAAGTAATCTTCTAAATTAGACACAGAATCGTCTTACCTGCTAGCAATTTATTTTTCAAATTTTTTTGCTGTCATACTTGCAGACACTTTATACTCATTGGGTATTCGGTGTTGTAAGATGACAAGAGCTTTTTCTTATTCATGTTAGCATCAGTCTGAATCTGCCTGGTAAATTTACTTGCATATAATTCAGAAAAAAGCCTTTCAAGTTTATGATGCCACTTAAAAAATTTGTAGTCAAAACAGATGTTTAGTTTTCAGTTTGTTGGCTTTCTAAAAACCAACATAACCAGCAGGTTCTACCACATCATCCAGAACAGGATGACTTGATGTTTTTCTCTGGCTGTCATAGATGTCACTTGCACTGAGACCATGAGCATTTTTACAGAATTTTCCCCCTATGTATATGTAGTAAAAAGCTATATATTAAAACCTTGAAAATGTTAGGACACTTATTTGAGATTCTCACTAGTAATCAACTTTATAATGTCTGAGTACCCTTCTCATTCATCCTGTGTGTCTCAAAGCAAATAGGATCACAAGAAAATATAGGTCAGGAGGGACCTCAGGAAGTCACCTAGGCTAACCTTCTGCTCAAACCATATGCTAGTATTTCCATTTAACAACTCAGGCCACTAAGGTACAGGATTTAAGTGCATTTTTGTGTGACTTCATGCAGATAATCCACTTGAAGTAGTAGTCAAGCTCCCATTTTCTATAGCTATGAGATCATCCTTCCTTGGAGGGATGGATATTTTTTCCCTAATGAACTGGAAAAGAGGATGAATAAACATCTTTAATGCCTTCTTAAGGCTAATTGTGACACCAGTTGTGAGCACAGGATACTTAGGATGATAGGAAATAAGTTCACCTACAAAGGTATCTCCTAAAGTTGTACTTTCCCTCTGCATGGATTTTGTTGGGACCATAAAAATTACTGTGTTATGATGTTGTGTGTTTTCAGACATGCAGGTTGAGCATTAGCAGAATTAATGAAGTAGGGAAGAAACCTGGAGTTTATGTTCAATAGCATAATAAATGTTTTGGTCATTCTTGCATCGTATTTTCAGTCAAGCTCAAATTTTGCTTTGAAGCTGAGGTGAATTGCTGGGTCATTTGTCCACAGCTGATGGGAAGAACACTTAAACCTTTAGATCTTCCTAAATGTTTGCTGTTGTAATGGAGGGGAGCACCCAGTCTCTCTTCCTTGGCAGCACAGTTTGATCTCTAAGTTCTCCAAGAAGACTCCATGCATTTAAACTTTCCTGCCTCTTCCTAGGCCCCTTTCAGTCTTCTGTCTAGGACTGTGCTGAGAGAGTTGCATGTCCCCCAGAGGTGAATTCCTCATTCCTTTCCCTCCTGGCAGGACTTGTTGGGTCAACTGTCCTGTCCTCTGATGAGAAAATCCACCCACCTTCACAGATTTGTTATACCCAGTTGTGGAAGGTCACTTTCAATTAATCAGATAATGTTTACAATTATGTGGGACAAAGAAGGGGTTTAATGTGGTCTTAATTTCTTATTGACACATACACTGTCTTTACAAAAAAACCATAAAATTTTTTATTTTGTAAAGAGGGTGTATGTAGTAATAAGTGAAAGTGAAGCTTGCTATTTATTTTGTGTTAAAACCTTAGTGGAACTGGGTGGAACCCATTACTTCAGGTGATGAAATGAAAGATAACATTAAATTTTGCATTATCCAACTAAACCCATTACAATATTTAAGTGATTTTGAGGCAGAAGTTTATCATAGCTTCACATTCATTATTAGCAGGGGCATATGAATATATCCAAAAGAGCCCTGAAAAAGTGTTTGCAAACAAGCTGTTAAGAGGTGGATAAATATACTTCACTTTGGCACAAAATGAAACAAAGGCCATCCCTTCTTAGCTGTTTTTAAGGATCTCAATGAATAAGAATGGAAATCTCTGTGAGGCACTGTATCTAAAATACCTAACAGTTCAGCAAAACACCAGCATAATGTTTCTTGGAGGCATTCAGCTTCAGGGCTTTTATTATTGCTTATAGGCTGTGAAATTTTAGAAATGCAAAAATATCTTAACTGAGTCCTAGTGTTCTGTGTGATTGATAGTCAGGTGCATGGAAATTATAGTAAAATAAATATTTTATTTGATGCAGAATTTTTAAGTTTATTGTTTACATTTTTATTTCATATTGTGAAAATACTACAGATGTTTCTCTAGATCTGTGTTATCTCCTGTACTGGAAGTGTCTTTTGGATTAAGACAGGAGGAGATCATGACTTTTTCATAATGATTTTTATTTTTGGAATGCAAGAAATTAAATTACAGTTAACAGCATTAATTCTTTCCCTTTTCAGATTCCTTCATTTGGTCATTTTGAACAAAACTTATCTGAGCTAAATCATATCACTTCTTCTGAAATGCAGATAAACATAAATGAAACTGTTCAGCTTGAGCAAATGAATTAGTTCATATAATGAGGAAACTTGAATTCTTTATTTTCCTTTAAATATTGAATTTATTGTCAGTTTTGATGCATAAAGGACTGCAATCCTTCTAAGACTGCAGTCTTGGAAATAGGAGTGTGGCTTTGAACTGTAGTTACCTCTGAGAATTGAGATGTTCTCTGTAGAAGAGAGAAAAATACACTTTCGGTTGATCTTCAGTTCAAACAGCAGCAATCAAACACAGCCAGGCCCATGGATCTGAGTAGTGAAAGGCCATTTTTGTAAAAAGAGAGTGAATCACTGTGGGACTAATCACCTTGTCTGGACAGAAGCAAGTCCACTTGCCAGGTGTGCCAGTGTTTCAGGTAGCTGCGTCTTAGGGGTCAGATGTACTCAGAGATGTTGTCTCCAGTAGGCAGAGGTGTGGAAGTTAACAGGACCTTCTTGCTCATTTGTATTTTCTTCAGTTACTTACCATCATGGACGTACAGTTCCAAAGCATGTCAGTAAGAAAGACATAAAGGAGCCTGGACTGTTGATACAGTGGGTGTGAGGATGTGAGGAGGGACCCAGTGCAGGCCAGGTACACAAGGGAATGGCTTCTACCTCTTGGAAGAATGAGGATAGATGGATGAGTGGTGGAGAGCAGGGGATGAAGTTTCCTTTCTTTGAGTAAAATGTGAGAATAAATGTCTGAAAATGGTGGTGGTGTTAAAGGCCTTTTAAGACTGAAGTGTTTTCACCAATGGCAGCTGGAAACACTTCAGACCTTAAATGCATTAGTGTCAGAGGAGGTCCTTTCAGGTGTTCCAGAAGGCACGAAGCAGGCATCACTTCTACCCCTCTGATGGGTGATGGTATGGTTTGAATAAATAAACAGATTTTCTTATGTTAGTTTCTGCTAGATGACCTCAAAATATTGTGAAATTTATATTATCTTCTTGATGCATCATCCTCCTTTTCCCCAGCCTTCCTGTACTCTGTTGTCTCTGAAGAAAAGAACAAAAGTTAAATTTTCTAACTGCCTAACTTTTTCTACATAGTTTGTGCTGCTAAAAGACAAGCCACAGCTAAACATCAGCTGCTTAAAACACTTCCTTACCGTGTTAAAATAGTTATTGTGCAATAAACCGTAGCTGCTGTGCTCCTCTGTTTCACTGCTGTTAAGCAGTCACATTTGCCATGACAATAATATATTAGATTTTGCTATCTTCTGATGCTTTTATATTAAAAAAAGCTGCTCTATTACTGTGAAATTAATTTTTATTCCTGTACCTATATTTTATCTACTAATTAATTTATAATTTAATGGAAAAATACATTAAATAATTGAAATAAAGTAAATGAAATGTCTCTAGGAATTCTCTCTGACATTGTGTTTTTCAGTCTTTGTAGAATAGCTGCAGAAGGCTGGGGCAAAAAGAATTTTCAGCCATGTTTCCTGACCATCATTCATTATAAAGAAATAGTACAGATGGTGATGTATTTTCATCCCTAAATGATTTTCTTGCCTGGTCTCTCCAGGAACATAGCTCTGGGCAGCCTTCTGATTAGAATGTGTTGTTGATCTGTAAGGCCTGCTGGGCATGATTGATTATGCACCATGCATTCCAATGGAAACATTTACATATTTTCATAGCCAAAACTCTCCAGGAGCCTGACTCCAAGATCAAAAGCAGTATCTGCTTAACTATGATAACCTCACTGGAAGGACTTCCCAATCTGCTTGTAGAGGGAAGAACCTGACAATCAAGTTGTGCTTTTCTTTTTATCCAGAGGTGGTGTTTATTCAGAGATTGTTTTTTATTAATTTTCTCCATCTGTTTTGGACTTGTCCTCAGTTTTCTTGGGGAAGCTTCTTTCTTGTATCTCTCACAGTTTTCGCTGAGAGGATTTCAGAGGGCATCAACTGTTTGTTGGCTGCTGAGCATTTTCAGCCTCATTGGGTGAAAACCAAAGGCCAAGAAACCAGGCTGTGCTTTGGAGTTACTGACTGTAGCTCTGTGAGCTTCTGAGCCCTCTAAGTTTCTGCTAGCCCAACAGCTTTTTATAGAGGTGTGATGTTTTCTCCCATTTTTTCACAGTCCTGTAGGTTGAATGCTCATGTTTCTTACGTTTCATTTTCTGTACATTTATGCTACCACTGACCACTGGGATGGTTAAGCTTGCTATAAATAAGCTTATATTTCCTAGCTGGTAGTATGGACTCGGGTATTACTG